TTGAGCAACACGTCCAATTAATCGTAACAAATTCAACTAAAATATCAGGGATGCACCGATATGAAAATTAACCGATAATTCTTTATATTTGAAAGCCTATAACCGATATATTGGCCCATAAATCTAAATTGATTTTTATATAATTTTTGAGAGCCTTGATTACAAAAACAAAAGTCTCACCATTAAAAGCCATAACCCAAACACAATTATAATGTCCTCATTATAATTTTATGTATGACAGACTTGCGCTGCATGTTGCACTGAACTTTTTGAAGTGATTTTCAATCATCATTGCGAAAAGTGCACATCTGAAGTGTCTCAGCTGAAGGAAAAATACCAAATTTTCTTATTGGGCCGATAACGATAACATTAAAAATGATCAAATATAGGCCGATGCCGAATCTGGTGGCCGATATATCATGCATCCCTAGCAAACATTATTTACTTTGACACATTATATATATATATATATATATATATATACACTGTTTGTGTATAGACCGCAAGATGTAAACAAAACTGGTCCATAAGCACTTCCTGTTTCAGTTTTTTTAACACTACATAAAATCTGGGATAAAGTACAACCAATAGAACATATAAAACTAAATCAAAAAGTTAAACAAACACTTTTTTTTCCTTAAGATTTTTTATTTACATTTGAAATAAAGAAAACTGAAACAGGAAGTGTTTCTGGACCAGTGTTGTTTACATCTCGCAAAATGGTCTATATATTTTTTTTTTTATTTAAAGAAAACATGATCATTGCCATTATCGTGGTCATATTAGTTGGAATAATGAAATTTTTCTGGTATTGACTAAAGTTTGATGTTATGACAACACGAAACGTAAGAACCCGCATCAACACTTTCATCATTATTCCCGAGCCCTGCTTGACATGGAATCTAGTTTCAGAAAAAGGACGTGTGAAACAGAAGTGAGGCTCATTCTGACACCTTGGCTGGAAGCTGCAGAGTGCCAAACCCTAAACAAACACACGTGTGTGAGTGACACTGTTCACCTCATCACTCTCACCCTCTTAATCTTCCCAGCATGCACACCGCTGGAACCCTGCGCTCAGAGCGGGACGGCTCAGATTAGGACCACAGAAGGGTCATCCACGCTCTTCACCGCAGTACAGGGACTCACTGAGAGGAGCTGTTCCATTGACTGTAAAAGATGATAGTAGATCGAGGTGTTAAGATGATATCACAAGTATTTTGATGGAAAGTTTTGGTTTCACATCAGAAGCCCCATATATTTGTGCTTTATTTCAAGTCTTCTTATAGGGGAAATTTACTTAAATTTCAGTCCATTTCTTAAACAATGCTATCTGATGACTAGAAATATATTGCACACAATTTGTATAAACTACTGTTATTGAGCTTTTTGTCTTGTTGACTATATGATTTTGTTTTTAATATATGTTTTTATTAATATTTTGAATCCATTTTCATTTTAGTTAGTTTGGTAACACTTTACAATAAGATTCATTATTTAACATTAGGTAACTACCTTAGTTAACGTGAAATAAGAATGAACAATACTTCTCCAGCATTTATCAATCTCAGTTAATATTAATTACATTATTAAAATCAGGTTGTATTTGTTAACATGAATTAATGCACAGTGAACTGACATGAACAAACAAGGAACAGCTGCATTTTTTATTATAACATTAACAAAGTTGAATAGCCTAAATAACAAATGTTTTGCTCATTGTTAGATCATGTTATTAAATACATTAAATCATATTGACTAATGAAACATTATTGTGAAGTGTTGCCATTAGTTTTAGTCACTTTTATCAGTTTTGGTTTTTTACACATTTTATTCTTTAAAATTTTTTTTTTTAATTTTATTTCAAGTAACTGTTCATGTGGTTTTAGTGTTAGTGAACTGATACAGACAGAGGCTTGAACATTTTTCAAAATATCTCCTATTGCATTCCTATTTAGAAATCAGAAAGTCATGCAAGTTTGGCTCAACATTAGACTAAGTAAATGTTGATAGAATTGTAATGTTGGGGTGAACCATGCCTTTCAAGCTTTCCACTGAAAAAATAAATTATATTGGGATGCAGATCTAAACACTCAGATGGGGAACACATGAAAGCATAACGTATATACTGTATATAAAGCGAGATGGAAACTTTAAGTAGACAGAAGAGTGGGCATGCAGCAATTTCACATCCCAGAATCCCAAAGGCAAGTTGGCGATGGACAAAAAACATATTTCGACCAAAGCAAACAATACCAAACAGCATTTCATACACTCTCAGCATGCAGACTTTTTAATTTTCCACCATAAAATGTGAAACCTCTTGGATCTCTTCATGAGGTGCAGACAGACAGCATTGAAGTCTAAATCAAGATCTGACTGATGCATACCCACAATTACCCTGCTGTTTGAAATAGGGGCAAACTTCAACATTTGGTATCATTTAAAGCCCAGGCGATGTCACTGATGCAAGACCGATTCACAGTCACAAATCCAACAAGATCTCAAAGGATATTACTGCGCAGCGATGCTTGAATCCAACTCTGTGCGTTAACCTATAATTATGAGACTCAAGCAAACGCTTGTTTTGATAAAACGGTTTGAGTGAACTACAGGTTGCCTTGACTTTACTGCCCTGAAATCCTCTGATGTTGGCGATCCGAGCCGAGTTGTGGAGGAATCGCATATGCCTCTTGCGTGGCGTGTTGGCAGTGTCCATGGAGTGGGCCCTGCTTTAGATTACTTTTTGGTTTTGAGCTATGAAAATGCAATTGCCACTTCAGTGTAAGTTAAATCAGGTGGGAAGTGAGTAATGAGGTCGGCGTCTACCGCTGCTTTGACACCCTTCAAGAAAGGTAGAAGCATTCAGGAAAAGACTCATTTTCTCACACGTAATTGCCGGTTTTAGGACATATAATTTGATTCGTCCAGTACAGTAATGGTATCATTCTTGCTTTCTTCCAACCAAACACAGTTACTGGAGTTTCTGTCAAAATAAAGTGTACTCCGGTTATTGTAAACACTGTAAAATCATTTTAAAATTGAGATTTTCTATATTTCCTGAAGAACATGTGAGGGATAAACTTACCTATGTGATGCTAGAGCATCTGCCAGGGCTTGGTAATGTGGTTGCAGAGGTGTTCTGAGTGGTTGTCAGCAAGTTGCTGTGCGGTTGCTAGGTGGTTGCTTACTAGTCCAAGGTAAAAGAGCCCACCCAAAATTCTTTGGTGGTATTTAAGCATACACTTCATGCATTTAACATATCAGACAATCTAGACCTAGACCAAGTGTAAAGGCATTTGAGATGAAATGCAAAACAAGAAGCAACTCTAAATTTAAATGCACACTTTATTCAGGCCACATTTAAAACTTTACTCTTCCTATTGTTATTAATATCAGATAAGAAATAAAGAGATTCTATACTGCCCCTTTTCACAAGATTTAATAAAAGTCTCTGATGTTCCCAGAGTGTGTATGTGAAGTTTTAGCTCAAAATATTTATATAGCATTTTAAAATTGTCACTTTTTGAGGGAAAACTTTTTGTGTGTATCCCTTTAAAGTCCCCATGAACCAGAAGTTGCAAACGATTTTTCTCCAGTGCTGTGACGTATTTCCAAGAGAAACGGAATATTGAACAGAGGGCAGGGTTTTACTCTAGCGCTCCTCCTCTCCGGTTTGAGGGGAGTGGTTAAGCGTTTCCCCACCCAAGTTGTGAAACCTACGTCATCAGAAAAAGAAACCGTTCCAGACCGGAAGTAACTTTTCAGATTTTGATTAAAGATTACCAAGGTAAAACATTTTTTAAATATATTTTTACTTGCACGGATTAATTGTTCACCACAAGACTAGTAATATGCGCTAACAAAGTAAATGTTCAATTTTGATTTCACGGGGACTTTAAATGCAAATGAGCTGCTGCTCCCGGCACAGAGGGTGGAGCTTCAAAAGCTTTAGCGTCTTTCTTTGATTATATCACAATCACACACAGGTCAGGACCGTCACACACTTAATTTTTTTTTTAAAAACTACCCTTTTATGTTCAAACCTGAGTCGGGAAAAGATGGGGAGACTCAAGAAGAAGTTACATGTAGAATGCAACATTTCTAAATGGTTAGTTGATGAACTTATGTAAGTTAGCTTATGTGGAGTTAATCCTATCATTGATTACAGTAGCATATTCTGTCATGATAATCTATTAATCGCGTTTTATCAGGGTTTATGTACATTTTAATGGGTTAGTGATATCCTAACCCGTTAGTTTGGGTCAGGGTTAGGGTTTGTTGTTGTCCTTTAAAAGCAATTTCTGTAAAATAAAATATCTCCCTTTGCTTTGAACTTTGAGCGTTGTAGCGACTGCAGCAAGATGTTGTTTATGCTCAAACAGCAACATTACACACTAACTAAAGTTAAAAAAGTGAAATCATAATTAACCAGCCCTCTAAAATGTTGTTAAACTGGTATAGCTCAGCTAGGCTATTTAAAGTGATACTATGCAAACAATGCTGATTTGTGTTTTATTTTGGGTTCTGTTGCTTTCACTTTTTTCTTGTAAACTCGTTTGGGCTCAAGGTTCATTTGTTGTAGTTTTGAGCGACAGTAGCCTACCACAACACCTTCGACAGAATATAGTATTACCTGCTGATCTTCATTCCTTTATTTATGAGAATGACACAAACACCCACAACATTCAACCGTATTTTCCCTGGAAAAAATCATCCAAAATTATAAATCATAATATCATAGTAATATAGGGTAAGGCAAAACCACTGTTTGGTAGATTGATTTATGATAAACTCACTTTATTTTTTTTAAAGGGGTCTTAAACTACATATTTTTATAATGCTTTGTGATGGACATTTATTTTCTTTTTTTTCCTTTTTTTTTCTGTGATGGACATTTATAATGTTATCAAGATTTTTATATAAATTATATTATTTAGAAGTAATAGACTATTTTCTATCCTGTTTTTGACCCTCCCTTTCAAACACTCTGTTTTGATAGACTGCATTCAAGACTTGGATGTAAACGCCATATTCGATGATTGGGTAAGTTACTTTTAAAAATAATTTTCATCTTCCCCGCCATTACACATGTAGAATTGTTTTGAACATTTATAATGTTGAGAAATATTTTGTTACACACATATTCTTTACGAGTAGTACTTGGAATTACCACAGTTAGCCTATAGTCTGTTTGTCGCACTCACTGTCATTCTTATAGGCTATTCATCGTTCATCCTTTTCGCTAATGTGAAAAAAGTAGGCTATACATTATCATTTGCACTGCAGTGTTAAATAAAATTAAACATGTTGTCTTACTCATGAAAAAAAAAAACAGAAGATGTTGCTCACTGAAGCTTTTATTCAGGACCACAGAGAAAGGCTTAGATGGAAACAATAACAAAAGCAACATTCTCTATGAGCTTTCATCCTTATCTGATGAATCACAACTAGGATATTCACAGTTTGACTGAGCAACAGTATACTCAATACATATCAAATGATCTGTAACAAACAAAGCAATAGTGACACATGGTAAAAACAGTGTTACTCACACTTGTGTTGAAACATAACTGTATCCAATATAGTCAGCTTTGCATCATCTTTTATTTTCACTCTCTCTAAGGGTGTGATCATACACTTCTAGTTCGGTTCACTTGGTCAGGACCTTAGCGCATTTTAACACCAAACCTAATGGCATAAGGATATGTTCACAACCCGATTGGTTGGCTTTTATTACGTATAGTTTGTGGCGGAAATTACGAACATCCAAAACAATGCTGTGTGCCGTTGCACTCATTGTATGTGCGTAGCCTACATACTGTATGATGAGCTTATAAAATGCGTAAATGAGTCAAAATAGTGCCATGAATCCCTCCATCATACACACAAAAGGAAGATCTGCTGTGAGGAGATGCGATTCTGATGCCTTTACCGAACTGTGACATCGCGACTATGACAAAAAATAGGTATGCTTGGGCATTATGTCCTACATATCATTGGTCCGTGTTGCGTTCATATTTCATTCTTCAAACCACACCAGAATTCGTTGGGAAGCGGAGCGAGACCCACCTTTTCAGCGGTCTCGGCCCGCTTATTTGGTGGCTTATATCAGGGTTTGGTGGCAGGGTTCACACTTATTCAAATGAGCCACACTAATAGAGCAATCGCCCCACAGTACGTTTTAATCAAACCAAACATGCCAAGTGTGAACACACCCTAAAAGGCCTAAAAAAGTTTAAAAATGAATCCGCAGTCAAATGAAGAGAACAAACGAACAGTGTCTAACTGACGTAATCTGGAACTGCATTAAAAAATAAAGTTAATCCGAGTTTATGTCGCACTATTACATCATAATGTTACACAATCCAAAACGAAATATTTGGGCAGATTGGTTTCAATAATAGGTGTTTTTGGACTAACAAGGAATTCTTGAGTTCTGAAACTTACAGGATATTTTTAGAGTACAATGACGTGTTATGTCAAAAGACCAATGGAAGATTTGATTTCTCAATTCATGACCCCTTTAAATTTTGTCCATTTCAAAAAATAAATAAAAATAGTGTCGCTTTAACATGCAGAAGTTTGGAAACCTCAATCTACCCAGACAGCAAACTGACATTGAATCAACGTGGAAACGACGTCTCTCATGACATCGAAACAACGTTGATCTGGCATTGTTTTGCTCATCAAATTAACGTTGAACCAACGTCAGACGCGGCATTCTTCAAAGCTAAATGAAAATCGAAAATTGGTTTGCTTTCATAACGTTGATTTCAAGTTGATTTTCCATTAGTTTTGAAAGAATGACGCGTCTGACGTTGGTTCAACGTTAATTCGATGAGGAAAACAATGTCAGATCGACGTTGTTTCGATGTCATGTTTCCACGTTGATTCAATGTCAGTTTGCTATCTGGGTACACATGAAAAGGCAATCATGAATGAGATATATGGAAGGAGAAACTGCAAAACTCCAACATTAATTGTAATTTGGAGTGGCATGAGCATCATCATGGTAAAGTAACATTTTCTGGCTATATACAGATGTTCTGTAGCCATGAGTACATGGAACAAGGATACCCAATTGAATGCAATCTCATCAATCAAGTTGAACGAAGTGACTACTTAAAAAATAAGCCAATGGAAACGGCAAGTCAGAAAAATTAAAAATAAATTTGCAAAAACAGATTTTGACACATATGTTGTTTTCTTCACAGATAATACTGTTTTTAGGGTTTATAAAAGGATTTCCTTCTGATTGGATGTTTGGTGCGTTGATGCTTGGGATGTGAGCGAGTCGACCCGACCTTCATGACTGCAGGACATTTCATCCAGATACAGTAGGTGCAAAATTTAATGAAGCAATCAAGGAAGGTGCAAAGCGCATGTTTGACCGGCCCTTTGCCCCACTGCCCAAACAAAGTCTGCAGACATAAAGATACAGATGGTTTAAATTTGCAGTGAAAGAAATGTGTTGGACGACTCGAAGATGGTGAAAGGGCTTTCTTAACAGGACGTAGGGTAATTAAAACCCATGAGGCCGATCGGCCCGGAGCTACTAGAGGAAAACCTCTCCTGTTTCGGCATGTGTTCCAATCTGATCTCCATGCTTGTTTAATACTGAAGCAATATTATACTGCTGCCAACTAAACCTGACAGGCAGACATCGCATGTGCTGGAAATCAGATGGAATGACAGCTTTTTTCACACGTATTTGACAGTTTGATAGAGGGTGACCATTTGGTTTGCATGAAATATTATCTTAAGCGTCTCATATTGTATCCAGTTGTTGGAACTCAGCAGATGTTCGGTTGTAACCACGCCAAGTCACCAACTGCAGCGTTTTTCAAAGTAAGTTGTGTAAATGAATATGAATTAATATGAATATTTATCCTGCTGGGGAAAAAACCCAACAGCAACAACATTAACCTTAAATCAACTCAGGCTGGTGTTCGACTGGTTTAGCTAGTTATATGATCGCCCAGCCTGACCAGTGGCCAAAACACCTCTAAAACAACCCGATCAAGATAGAACAACAGCTGGTTCAATACAAAATCAACTCTACAGAAAATGTAACATATCCATGCCACTGAAAAACTCAGATAAAACAAAAATCACATTTTCTTACATTGAAAGTCTATGGGACAATACACAAAGCACAAAAATGGTTTTCAACGTAGAGCTGCACAACAATTAAAAATGCACACGTAATGTGATTTGCTAACCTGTATTTCCTGTCATGACTCATGACCACGCCTCCGATAAACCTGGTAACTGTATTACAAAAGGAGGATACAAAGACAGGAGCTTCATTAAACGTGAATATCCGACTAGAAAAGCAGTTCCACGGCGGGACGAGTTCGGTTAACTTTACAGATCACATGATACGCATTTTTGTATTGAAAATAGAAGCTATTTTCTTATTTGAATTCCATAGTAGCTGAAGGAGAACACGAATGTGGAAATCGACGACATGTTTTGAGTTTTTTTCACCTTGAAATATTCATCTTGCCGTATAACACGTCTGTGACCTAACAAAAGAGGCATCACAAGCTTGATAAAAAAATATATATTTCTTATAAGAGAGCATGAGTTCAAATAGGCTTTATGAAAATTCCAGGCAGGGCTAGAGATACCTCAGACCTAAAAAAGTGACTATTTTGTGTGATGGCTTTAATTTGATAATAGAAACAGTTTAATCTTAAATATTATGCCATTTTGTGTCTGTGTCTGTGTCTGTACACTGCCTGGCCAAAAAAAAAGGCAAATGCTTAAGAGTCTATGACTGGATCATTATTGCAGTGATTTTTATGTTTCTATCATGTTATATACTGTATTTGGCAACAGTTCTTCTAACCCTAATTAATGGAGTTGTAGCTTTTCATTTCTTAAACAACCATGTAGGAAAACACATCATGGCCATATTCCAGGATGACAATGTCAAGATTCATCAGACTCAAACTGTGAAATAATGTTTGTGAGGAGCATGGAGAATCATTTTCACACATGAATTGGTGGAAATAACGTTGACGGAATCTCTTGATGGACGTAAATGTTGTGATGTTTCCATCAAGAGGTGCATATCAATCTTTGGTCAAGATCTTGTATTGAGAATACAGCACATCCCAAAGACTTTCAATGATTTAAAGGTCTGGACTCAGAGGTGCCGATTCATGTGTGAAAATGATTCTTCAAGCTCCTCCCAACCATTCTTTCACAGTTTGAGTCTGATGAATCTTGACATTGTCATCCTGGAAAATGGTCATGGTGTGTCTTCCTACATGGTTGAAAACCATGAGAAATGAAAAGCTACAAACTCCATCAATTAGGGTTAGAAGAACTGCTGCCAAACATAAACATGCTAGAAACTACAATAATTAAAGGATAATTCCGCTATTTAACACCTTGAGTCAATTTTGTAGTTTGTTTTGAATGAAATAGAGTGGTGGACTTAGAAATTTTGACAATGGGAAACCTGACAATGAAATCCTTAACATTCATTTTCAAAACTGTGATGTTCCGAAACAAGTAGCGTAGCGAAATACCGTTTCTGTCGTGTTTTATTTGTCATTTTTTAAAATCGCATTGATGTCTGCTGGAGTTGATATTTCTGCGCTAGCCACCGGAAAACGGAAAGGGGTCTGTTTACATTTGGTTGTAAGTCTTTTCGCTCGGTTCTCCGTCTTACCCATAGGTCTTGCCATATTCGACTGTGTCTTGTGTTCCGTACAGCGTCCTGGTTGTCACCATCAAGTGGTCGGGAGTGTGCTAACGCTTCAGACTCAAATATCGAGCAGAAGTTTATACGCGGTTGTGAGGTATCTGAAAAAATAGTTCCACAATAGCAAAAAACATGGATTGAAAGCATACACTGCGCCGATATATTTGTTTTTAATCATCAACGAACACCACCAACCACTCGGTGAGTTGCACAGTTTTGAAAATGAACGTTAAGGGTTGTTTTAAGGACATGTTTGTGCATGCCCATAGACAGCCAGTCTAAAGCTGTCACAGGCGATTCTAAAATAGTCAAAAAGTCGAGACAGGACCCATTGTCAAAATTTCTAAGTCCACCACTCAATTACATTCAAAACAAACTACAAAATGGACTCAAGGTGTTAAATACCGGAATTATCCTTTATTTGCCAATTTAAAACCAAACAGCAACTTTTCTTTGGCCGTGCAGTGTATAACATCTGCAGAATTATGGGCTTTATGCACAGCTGCACTACTTCCTGAACTTAAGCCAGCTCCTTTGTTTCCTGTCTGTCATTATTGGCCAAATTGATTAATTCAGGTGTGCTTGACCTCAGTAGTCACGGCAACAATAATCAGACACACCTGAATTAATCAATTTGGCCAATAATGGCAGACAGGAAACAAAGGAGCTGGCTTAAGTTCAGGAAGTAGTGAAGCTGTGCATAAAGCCCATTTAAATAGTTTTATTAATTTCCTCACTAGGTGGGGCTTTGTGCTTAAATAGAATTGTTTTCAAGCCAATTTTAAAGAAATGTAATTATTTCATGATCACGTTTTTTCTCCTTCAGAAATGTACAAACATTAGCCATAATATGCAGCTTTGAAAGCACTATATAAATAAAGGTGACTTGACTTGATAATAAATACTAAGGTTACATATAGTTCTCTGAGATAAAGCACACATTTATGTCAGGCTACTGTTTCAAAAGCTAGCAAAAATAATTTATGCAACACAAAAACGCAAAGGGCTTTACAGCAAGAATTTGCCTTTAACTGAAAAGAATCTCCATCCAACCCTGAAAAGTTGTAGAAACAGTGGCACAGTGTTTTTTTTTTCTAGACCGTCAGAGATAGCGACACTAATAGAGCAGTTTATGTCACTTACAGTCAGTAAACATAATGGCAATAGTAATGGAAGTACCAACCCGATCTCACAGCGATTTGTACATATTATTACGAGGTGGCTAATTCGTGCGAATGCATACGACCTCACTTGTACGAATTGGCCGTGAGATAGCATTGGAAGTACTCACAAGCATGACGAGGGCAAGTAACAGTTTAGAATATCACAGGACTGAGCCAATATGGCAAATTCTGCTCAAGAACTGCTGAAGGAAAATCCTTTTCTCTTTCACCAGTTTTGCATATGATTATACGAGTCACTGCTTGGTGCGTGTTCATTTGCCCGGCCGCTTGGCCACGTCCTCATAGGCCAGTTCAATCTCTCTGTCTGCCGCACAGGTGTTGGTGAATTCATCACGTGCGTAGGCATTCTGCAGGTACCTCCAAACTCCAGTCAACTCTGATGGAATCTCAAAGTTACGGAATTTCTTAGAAACCACCTGCATGAATGTGGGAAGAAAAATAATGAAGAAACCAAACAACTGACACTGCTAGTTTACATTCCAAACAAATCATCGGGTCGAAGTATTTTAATCAATGTCAGGTTTGGGCAAGTTGTCACATGTGTTTAAGTTATATGTCGTAATTTTATGGAAATCATCAATTGCTGTATATCTTAGCATGATTTGCTTCATGAATTGTTTTAATTTATCCATTAAATAGAATTTTATGTATAGATATGATGTGCACTGCAAAAATATATATTAAAAATAATTTTCTACTCAGTACTTTTGACTTGTTTTCCAATACAAACATCTTAAATCAAGATACATTTACTTGTGGTCTTGTTTTCTGAGAAAGTATGAAAATTAAGCGAGTTCATGCTTTAAATAAGAAAACAATGTCTGCCAATGGGGTCAGAAAAATAAAATAGTTTTCCCTTTAACCCTTATGCTGCATTAGGGACATTTTTGGTCTTTTGCAGTTTAATTTCTTTGACCATTTTGGCTGTTTTAATGCAAATGGTATGAAATTTGGCAAAATTGTGACTTTTTGGATACATGTAAAAAATGTGATCCCATTTTGCAAAATATGTATAACACACACTGTGTAGATCAAATAGTAACACTCACCACCATAAAGACCAAAAATGGCCCATTGAAACCCATTAAAACGTTGTTGTTTAAATCTGAGGCTGTCAGTAATGCATGAAACATGATTTTTGCACAAACATCCTTTCATTTTGAAGCAAAAGCATTATATTTGCATTATATAGTGTATTCCACCAGATGACGTCACTACATATTTATTCCCTATGGGTGGAAATGCACCTTATTTTAGGCAATAGGCAATGTTTAATAGGTGGCCATTTTTGGTCTCTAACGCACTAAGTGGGATTTTTTGCAAAGTGGGACTGTGATAATCCAAATCTAAAATTTTCTCTTTGCATTTAGTTTATTGAAAATAATAGAATTTTTGTGTTTTTTCCTCTTATACAAATCGATGGTTTCGCAAACAAAACTGGTAATTAAAGGGTTAAACTCCTGAAATTGAATACATTTTTGGTAGTTATGATGAGGACTGATGCTGGTTAAAAGATTTAACTTGGTAAAAGTGGAAAATTATAATAATATATAATATTTTAGGCAATGTTTAATATGTGACCATTTTTGGTCCTTAATGCACTCTAATGCAGCACAAGGGTTAAATTAAAGCTGCAATACATAAGATTTAGATGCCGCTAGAGGGCGCTACATTCAAAACAACAACAACGGCTTTGCTTGATGACGACGTGGAGGAACGCCGAATGATGGGAACTGTTGTTTTCAACTCCACCGTGGATAAATCAGTCAGACGGGAATCGAAAATTAGTTGTCATGGATGAGGTAAAGTTCGATTTCTATAAACGTTGCGTTTAATGACATGCTTGTTTTTCATTAAACTGAAATAACCGCAAGAAAAGTCAGGTTTAAAAGTAAATTAGTTACTGTACGAGTCACTGGACGAAGCTATGGTGGAGAGGGTTTGAAGGGGCAGGTCTCTTGCAAGGAGTTGACGTGGCTGGTCCTCCTTGGTAACTTTATAAAAATAAAAAATCAATTTAATGTACATTTCACACATCTTTTCATGTCGTGTAAGTATTCAACCACAGCTACAGTTTCACAAAATTAACGTTAAGGGGGTCGCACACCGGACTAGAAGCTGCAGCGCCGCGTCGCGCCACATCTTTAAAATTCGAAAACATTATTATCTATAAGTGTAACGTTACACATACCGGCAGCGCCATTCGGCGTCTGTCCGCGGCGCCCAGCAACAATGCCTCAGGACCGTGTTCAAAATCCTGCTGCGCCACAGAGCGCCATTTACATAGTTTTATATAAAATTTTAAATATTTTTGTCTCAAATCGTTGCTAATGGTTCCTGACTTCGCGCTATGCTGCAATATGCATTTAGTTTTGCAGTGATTTACAGAAATCAGCTGCTTGAATGACAATTGCTGATGTTATTATTAGATTTTTCAGGTGAGATTCTCAATTCATTCAGTGAACGGATGATCTGAGGTAAAGTTTTCAGAATGCAAACTCAGCAACGATTGTATTTAATTGTACAGTACAATCATAACATAGAACAGACATTATCTTCATTTCATGTCATTAAACATAACAATATTGCTGGCCATACACAGATGAGAAAGTGCGCGTCCGGTGTTCGATAACGTTACTGTGGAGTTGTCCTAAACGTGGCGCGGCGCTTCTCATCCGGGTTGCGACCCCCTTTACAGTTCACATTCCGAGAATAAATGAAAAGAATAATTGTGCTCCATTCCATAACAAATGGGCAAAACAAGCTGACGTTTGTTGCTTGATAGACGCTAACGCACAACTACAACTACCGCATTTGTTCAGGACTACACGTAGTACGAGCGGAAACCGAGGTAAGCGGATATGACGCGATTGACTGGCGACTCCCAGCTCACCCCTGCTCGTTTCCTTGGTTAAAATCTCAATTTTCTCGCGATTTAAACATTGTTTGAAACATTTGAAATATTGTGAGTTATCATCATAACTAAATATACACTAGCCTTGTGATTTTGGGATATTTGAATGCAAAAATCTTAGGTATTCCACCTTTAAGTTCATTTTCTTACTTCATTGGCAGATAGAAAACACAACTTTATTTTGCTTCTAAATTGATTTAAGAATCTTTAGCTATTTTATTGAAAAACAAGTCAAAAATACAGTGTGGAAGATTACTGCTTTTAATCGAGACAGTATTTCATATTTCAGAAAAGGTATTCTTCTCAAATCACTGTTAATAAATTAATAGGATCCCATTGTGACAACTTACCCCACACAGTATACGAAGTGTGACAACTTGCCCCACTGTATCTTATTTTCCTGGCCATAATGCTGGGAATGTTCAAAAGACTTTCAAAAAGATTCAGTTCAATAAAAAGTAACTCCTAGAACGTTTCAGGAATCACCAGTATTTTATCGTGCACTAAGTGATCAATTACACCAGATGTCCCAGAGGTACGTCACCTTCACTACGTGCAGTTTAGGGAGGAGGTTGCAGTCTGAGAGCGTTAATTCATTGCCGTCCAAGTACTTTCGGTTGGAGAACTTCTCCCCCGTACCATCGGCATCAATCTCATCCGGGAGAGGGGAGTTAAGGAAGTTGTCCAGTTTCTTCAGAGCTTTCAGTAGCACCTTCTCCAGACCTACACAGCCAAAAGTTTGATATGTGATTGAGCTGAATGTTTTTATCTGAAGAAATATAGTGACTTTAAGTCAAGACAATCCCTGTAAAGGCCTAGCGGAATGTGAATGAGCTTTGGATAACATGTGGCTCCATATTTTTTCCGTTGACAGCAGAGCTTGCATAAAGAGCTGTGGATATTCCTTCCACCTGTCTAATAAGTTACAGAAGCAGACGTTAAACTCACTTGCATTAGCTTCTGGCTTTGTGTTCTTGATGTAGGCTGAGAACTTTGCAAAGATGTCATTTCCCGCTGTATTTGACTCTTTGTTCTTTGCAACCAGTTTTGGATACCTTTGGAAGAGAAAGAAAAAAAAAATAGCAACGCTGTTCACATTACATAAACAATCAATCCATCTATCAGCATCCTGTCAACCTACTTGGGAGGTGCTAGCATCTCTTCCAAGTATTCCTCGATTTTGTTGACGTCTGTTCGCACCTCTCCATTGAAGGTAAGGAATGGCGGGGGAGTTCCAGGAGCGAGATTATGAAGATCAGCTGGTTTCCTTGAAGAATAATTTAAAAACTTTAGATTTTTCTGATTTTGATCATTACACAATGTAGAAGAGAATGTCATTTCTGATCAATTAAAAAAAGCAGTTTTCTTCACAATGTTAATGCATTTCCCAGTAAAACAGGGTAGGCCTATTTTGGTGGGACAAACATGTAAAGCAAATACAACCTGAACAAAATAAGTACATTGTACTTATTTTTCGATGTACAGGGGTTGGACAAAAAAACTGAAACACCTGGTTTTACTACACAATAATTTGTTAGAATGGTGAGGGCCTCATTTTGCATCCAAATACAGCACCAATTGACAGACAGAAGTCCTTCACAGTGACCAGAGGGATTATGAGCTGTTCCTCTTCCAGAACAGTGTCCAGGTCACTATATGATGCTGGTGGACTCGCTCCTCCAAAACACCTCAATAATATTCAGATCTGGTGACTGTGAGACCATGGGAGATGTTCAACGTCACTTTCATCTTCATCAAACCCTTCTGTCACAAGTCTTGCTGTGTGTGTTGGTGCATGATCATGCTGATACACGGTTTGAGCATCAGGTGCTCATGATCCTCCAGAAGGGTTTGGTAGTCCTCGGCAGTGTCGTGTCCATCAAATACAATCAGGATTGTCATGATATTGGTATGAGGTGCCCCTAGGGACATTATTCAGAAATGCCATGCATATACATGTACTTTTCCTCTCACATACACATATGAAACCAAATTCATTCACATACTATAATGAAATGCTCACACACATACAAGTGAAATGCTTTTACACACACAACTGAAACGCTCTCATACATACAAGTAAAAAATATACGCTCACACACACAACTGAAATGCTCACACACACACAACTGAAAAGCTCTCTCACACACAAGTGAAACCCTCACACACACACAACTGAAAATATTACGCTCACACACACACAACTGAAACGCACACACACACACACAACTGAAAAGCTCTCACACACACAACTGAAACGCTCACACACACACAACTGAAATCCTCTCACACGCACAACTGAAACGCTCACACACACACACAACTGAAATCCTCTCTCACACACAGCTGAAATGCTCTCTCACACACAACTGAAACGCTCTCACACATACAAGTGAAATGCTTTTACAAACACAACTGAAACGCTCTCGCTCACACAACTGAAAAGCATTTCGGTTGTGTGTGTGTGAGAGCATTTCAGTATGTTGTATGCAAGCATTTCAGTAGTGTGTGTGAGAGCATTTCCGGTATGTTGTATGCAAGCATTTCAGTAGTGTGTGTGAGAGAGAATTTCAGTTGAAACGGAAGCACATTTCAGTTGAAACGGAAGGTGGTTGAAGTCCCCAGTCCAGTTGGTGGCAGTAGTGCACCTCAAGACGAAGAACTAGAAGCTGTAGAAAGCATAAAAACGCGCGCAGCCGCGCACCTTTCACAAAGCACCGTTCGTCACAAATACTGTAGGCCTATTAATAATAAAGTGAAAGAAGTTTCATTTAAAATTTTGCCTCAAATTTATCCTGTTAAAGATACTTTAAGAAGATTTAAAATAAACATAGAAGAGTCTTGTGTTTTTTGCCAATCTAATAAGGAGACAATTGTTCATTTATTTTATCACTGTATGTACACAAAACAATTTTGGTCTGATTTGGAAGAATATATAATTACAAAATTGAATGTAAACATCAGAATCAATATTTTTGATGTCATTGCTATACTTTGACTTTTGTGGTTTGTCCAAAAAAAATGATTTTTGTCATTCAGTTGTTTATTATCCTTGGAAAATACCATATTCACAAATGTAAATGGTCTAATTCACAACCTTGTTTTAAGGCATTTAATTTGGACTTTAAATTATATTATAAAACAATAGAAAACATGGAAAACATGAAAGCTACAAGAACATTTCATCTCCTGAAGGAACTGCATATTTTTTAATTTTTTCCCCTTCTATAATTATATTAATTTATTTGTTATTATCCTCTTGTCTATACACTATTGATTTAATTTTGTTGAACAGGTTACATTATCTGTAGTGTTCTCTGTACCTATTGTCCTGTGTATTGTTCAGAATAAAGAAAAAAAAATAAAAAAAAATAAATAAATAAAAAGCACCGTCCGTTCGCTCGCAATCGCGCAACGTAACAGCAATGTCTGCTCAACAGCAAAGAACATTAACCGAGGCAGCGGGCTTGCTGAGCACCATATTAGCCTCAGCGGAGTCCATACGAACCCTGTCAAATGCCACACCTAGCCTCGCTCTTCCCTACCCGCCAGCGTAGCGGCGTGCCAATGCCAACTGCAGGTCACTTATTGCCAACTGGGTTCGTATGGACTCCGCTGAGGCTAATATGGTGCTCAGCAAGCCCGCTGCCTCGGTTAATGTTCTTTGCTGTTGAGCAGACATTGCTGTTACGTAGCGCGATTGCGAGCGAACGGACGTGCTTTGTGAAAGGTGCGCGGCTGCGCGCGTTTTTACTATGCTTTCTACAGCTTCTAGTTCTTCGTCTTGAGGTGCACTACTGCCACCAACTGGACTGGGGACTTCAACCACCTTCCGTTTCAACTGAAATGTGCTTCCGTTTCAACTGAAATTCTCTCTCACACACACTACTGAAATGCTTGCATACAACATACCGGAAATGCTCTCACACACACTACTGAAATGCTTGCATACAACATACTGAAATGCTCTCACACACACACAACCGAAATGCTTTTCAGTTGTGTGAGCGAGAGCGTTTCAGTTGTGTTTGTAAAAGCATTTCACTTGTATGTGTGAGAGCGTTTCAGTTGTGTGTGAGAGAGCATTTCAGCTGTGTGTGAGAGAGGATTTCAGTTGTGTGTGTGTGTGAGCGTTTCAGTTGTGCGTGTGAGAGGATTTCAGTTGTGTGTGTGTGAGCGTTTCAGTTGTGTGTGTGAGAGCTTTTCAGTTGTGTGTGTGTGAGCGTTTTCAGTTGTGTGTGTGAGAGCTTTTCAGTTGTGTGTGTGTGTGAGCGTTTCAGTTGTGTGTGTGTGAGCGTAATATTTTCAGTTGTGTGTGTGTGAGGGTTTCACTTGTGTGTGAGAGAGCTTTTCAGTTGTGTGTGTGTGAGCGTTTCAGTTGTGTGTGTGAGCGTATATTTTTTACTTGTATGTATGAGAGCGTTTCAGTTGTGTGTGTAAAAGCATTTCACTTGTATGTGTGTGAGCATTTCATTATAGTATGTGAATGAATTTGGTTTCATATGTGTATGTGAGAGGAAAAGTACATGTATATGCATGGCATTTCTGAATAATGTCCCTAGGGGCACCTCATAATTGGAGCTCAAACCATCACTGATCCACCCGTGCTTCACTCTGAAGATTGGCCGCCAGGCATATAGATGTGAAACCTCCAACATTGGCCAGTGTTTCAGTTTCATTGTCCAACCCCTGTAAGTACATAATGCCACTTAATATAAAGTGGGACCGTGCTGCACATTCAGCATGGGGATTTATTAAAAAAATAATAATAAAAAAATGTAGGCCTAAATCTAACTTTACACATTTACCCAAAATTTTCAGGCTAATTGTAGTAATGATGGATCAGACCTGTTTGCCCAATAGTGGCAAGACCTTTTATACACACATGTATAAAAGGACATCTGACAAATTAGTTTGTCCATCAAGAACCAGAAAAAAAAAAACTCCCATCCCCATTCAATGTCACTTCTCTGTCTTTCACTGCCCTGACAAGAACGTCGGTCTCCTCAGCTGTGAACCGCTCCTGGCGAGCGCCTGGTAAATTCGCCCAAAATAATTAACAATCATGTTATTATTACAACCATGTAACATGCGCACCTGCTCTTAAAGTCCCCGTGAAATCAAAATTGAACCTATTTACTTTGTTAGCGCATATTAGTCTTGTGGTGAACAATTAATCCGTGCAAGTGAATATAGTTTTATGACTGTTGTATTGCTGTAATTTTTAACTCTTTTTTTTTTTCTAGTTAAGAGCCTAATAACATCTGGCAAAGGGACTACCAATAAAAACTAGCCTTTGGGCTAATTTGGGTACATTTACATTTAAGAATGTTTATTAATATGTACACTGTCCCTTTTCTAAATAAATAAAATAAATAAATATATATTAAAAAAAAGTTTTACCTTAGTAATCTTTAATCAAAATCTGAAAAGTTACTTCCGGTCTGGAACGGTTTCTTTTTCTGATGACGTAGGTTTCACAGTTTGGGTGGGGAAACGCTTAACCACTCCCCTCAAACCGTTAGTTTGCTATGAGCGAGAGATGGAGAGGAGGAGCGCTAGAGTAAAACCATGCCCTCTGTTCAATATTCCGTTTCACTTGGAAATACGTCACAGCACTGGAGAAAAATCGTTTGCAACTTCCGGTTCACGGGGACTTTAAAGGGTATGCATGTTGGATGATGCTCAGATTGGTTTATTTCACGTTACGCCCAAACCACACCTATGAATAATGAAGCTATTTCAGACCAACCCCCTTTAAACTTGCGTCGGGCGCAAGAGGCATTTATCCCGCCGGTAAAATAGCAACAGTGCCCAAGGCCCGCCCATAAAGTTACTTGCGCTTCGAGCTTGATTGCGTTTCAGATCGTTAAAATAGGGCCCGAAGTTTATTTCTGTAATATATTAACAGAAACTCTACGGCTGGGTATTGATACAGATGTCCAGATTTGGGTAGAATCCAATTTGCAAGATCTCAATTCTATTCTCAATTCAGTTCAATTAATAATTTTTTCTAATACAAAAAAGTAGAATAGTTTCTACATTTGTGCTTTTTAAAACAAAGTTACACCATTGTATTTAACTGATATAATTTTGAAATATTATTAAAGACAAGTAACCCGTCATTATTAAAATAAGAACCAACAATCAAATTGCAAGCAAAAGCACCAAAAAATAAATAAAATAGAACAAAGATATAAATTAAATAGATAAAGCTTTTCAGGTTTTACTATAGATCTAATAGTTTTCAAGTAGGTCTACAGAAATTTTATAAAGTAGCCTAATCAAACGGAAGATAACGCTACATATTCTGTATAAATTAAATATAGATGAATCCTTTTTAAAGTTATAGAAAAGTTATTCAGTCAAGAGCAGTGAGTGATTTTCTCTTTGTCTTTTGTCAAACACAGATGGCCGCATGAATATTTGGTTATTGTCACTTGAAGACGAGTGCACGTTTCCAGTACACTGATACTGTCCACATGTCTTTCTCAAATGTTAACATTACTTAAGACATAAGAGACTGTTTACAAGATGAGCAATTTGATATAATTTTGCCTGAATTTGTCCTTTCAAGTGCAAGAAGACGACAAAGATAACTCAGTAGGTATTCGCACGCTATCTGAGAACGAAGCTGCTTTCTGGGCACATTGTTCAGATCGGCGAGGCTTAAAACATGGTGCAAATGATAATCTTTCATGACCGTTCCATCTGTCCGGAACGTCTGTCACGCTGAAAGGCGCTCCTGCATCTGTCATGCTAAGCACTGAATGAAATGCCCCCCATTGTAACATCACACAAGGTAAATAAGAGGATGGTATCTTGTGGAGAAGATGTCACAAGGTCTGGTTTGTGTTTCCCTGGATAACCACCAGAGGTCCTCTTCAACCAACCTCTTCATTCACTCATACTACATTTCCCATCATCATCATTGATCATTGCACACAGCTGTTTCCATTCACTTTGTTAGTATCTATGTGTTTATATACCCTGTTTGTTCAGTGTTTGTCACAGAGTTACATGTCATGTCTGAAGTGCTGGTTTATGTTTGGAATGACTATTTGGAGTTTGACCCTTGCCTGGACTGGTTTTGTGAGTACGGATTACCCTAATAAAACACTGCAATTGGATCTTACAATTGCCTGTGTGTGTATCATGACAGAAGACTAGTAATAAAATCCACATTAATCTGATATATTATGTTCAGTGTTTAGTGCAAATAAATACCAAAAAAAAAAAAAAAATATTCGAGGCTTTTAAGGATAGATATCGAATCGATTGCATTTAAAAAAAAAAAAAAAACATAAAATTGAAAAATCTTTCTTTTTTTTTTTTCCCGCCCAGCACTAGTAAAACTATTTAAAAAAACTATTGATATTTCATTACCTTTTCAGATCGACAGTGGTCACGTTAAACACGACTCCCTTTAGCCACAGGATCATAAAAAGCCTTTGAGAGAAAGGACAGTTTCCGATGCTTTCACCATCACTTCCAGCCTGAGGAACACAAACCAGACTCAATACATCATGTACAGATATGAATATAATAATCATGGCACATAACAAAGTAAAATAATACTGTACCAGAATTTTTGCAGGCGGGATACATTAATAAAGTTTTTTTTGCAAATCAGCAATACAAAAATTCTTGCAATCATTTATGTATTTAAAAATGTGTAATTTTTTTTAGATGTATATATTAGGGTTATAAGTTTTTTTTAATATTTAAAAAAAATATATATTTCCTGTATCATAAATCGATGAACTTTTGCTTAAAAACATAACACTATCTCACGACCAATTCGTACGAATTCGACGCATGATTAAAAAGTGTCTAATTCGTACGACCTCACTCGTACTAATTCGTACGATTTGTCTAAACCCACGTGATGGTTAGGTTTAGGGGCGGGGTCAGGGGTAGGTCATTCGTACGAATTCATACGAATTGGCCAATTCGTAAAATATGTACGATTTAGCAAAATCGTATTAATTCGTACGAGTGAGGTCGTATGAATTGTTACGAAAAGGCCCAATTCCTCTAAGTTAAAAAAAGGTGTCCATGGATAAAAAATTGGAACAACTAAAGGTTACACTTTATTTCGATAGTCACTTGAGACATTCTACTAACTATAAGTAACTTTTCAACTACATGTCAACTAAGTGTCATTAGAGTATTAGTAGACTGTCAGTAGACTGTTAGGTTAGGGTTAGGTGTTAGGGTTCAGGTTAGGAAAACAGGTTGACTTGTATTTTTTTTAAGTTACTTACAGTCAGTTGAATGTCTGTTGGCGGACCAACAAAATAAAGTGTTAGCAGATATTAAGCTGACAGTCTACTAATACTCTAATGATAGTTAGTTGACATGTAGCGGCAAAGTTACTTATAGTTAGTTGAATGTCTAAAGTGGACTATCAAAATAAAGTGTTACCCAACTAAATAACAAATGTTACTGCTTATAAGTAGAACTTTCTGGAACTTTCTAGAACTTTCTGGAACTGTTTTTCAATCTAAATCTTGGTATACAAATGAGGGCCAGGGAGAGGGGTAAGCTGTTTGAGCAAACAACTCAACTTGATACTTTTTTATACTTGTTTCAGCAATTTATAATGTTGCACAAGATAAGTGATACTTTACAGAAGAACAAGGCTGTCCGGACCAATAACCTAGTGATATTTCAGCAATCACATACAAGGAGAGGAAGTGTGCCTTTAGCCCGGAAAGTACTTAAGTAATTAAGATTAATTTACAGCGTAACTTTCAGAAATTATAGTGTACCTATACTATAAGTACTTGCATAAGTATAAGGGAACAATATATAAAGTTTTGGGAATAAAGGGATAACAACCAGGATAATAATATATTAGAACTAAGGGGTGCTTAGTATTCTATTATGATACAATCTTACATTTGGGAGCAATTTAGGTATCTTTTGAAATAATGGTGCATACCAATTCATACTGTATAGGATTTTTGAAAATTACAGGGCACATATCTATGCATTTATACGGTTTTTGTCGAAAATGTGCAGATGTTTAAGTTTTTAAGTTTAAGATATTTTTGATTAAATTTGAGAGGTGGATCACTGCTGGGATCGAAACTTGACGGCCCAGAAAGTCAATGAAGAATAATGTTTAAATATTCCATGTGGCTCAAGTTTATCAACATTTTCTTCATTGACTTTCTGGGCTGTCAAGTTTCGATCCCTTAGGCGGCCTATGTAGCAGTGATCCAGCTCTGAAATTTAATCAAAAATATCTTCATTTGTGTTCTGAAGATGAACGAAGATGAACCCTCTTACGGGGTTGGTACAGCATGGGGGTATAATTAATGTGACTTAATTTTCATTTTTGGGTGAACTAACCGTTCTTGTTATCCTTGTGTTCCATGTATTTACAGGGTAAGTACAATAAAAAGTATAATCTGATATCAATGACTCGGAAACCTTTATTTGAAAAACAACTTATTACAGTTGGTTTGAAGCAATAGTCTACAGTAAAAACGTTTTACTGCATTTTCTTTTAATACATAATACAGACACATGATTTATTCCTACGATTCATCAGTTGAAAGAAATAAAAAGGAGAGGAACAAAAGGACGAAGCCAAGCACGAGAAAAAAAGGGGAACAAAACGTGCTTCTTTCTGTCAAGACTACTGTAAGCATTTGAAAATATTGTTTTATTAAAAAAAGCAGTTTTAAATGAAAAATAAGTGTTGTAAATCTGTTTTGAATTAAGTTGTTTTTCAAATAAAGGTTTTCGAATCAGTGATATACGATTGTGTGTATTTTATTGTACTTACCCTAGAGGGTAACAAAACACAAAAGTAGCTATTTTTCCCCAATTTTTAAGCAAAAGGTGCAATAATTTTAGTTTACAGTGCACTTTTGTTAAAAATATTAAATGCATAGATATGAACCCTGTAATGTTTACCCTGTAAAGCCTATACAGTTTGTATTGGTACACCATTATTTCAAAAAGGTACGCAGTGTGTGCTTGTTAAATTGCTCCCAAATGTAGATTGTTGTATCATAATAAGAGAATAAGTACCCCTTAGTTCTATAATACTTATAAATCATTTCTCCTGGTTGTTACCCCTTTATTCTCCAAACTATTTCATATTGTTCCCTTATACTTACATGCAATTACTTAATAGGTACCACTATAATTAATGAAAGATACCTCTTTAATTAAGCAGTACTTTCCAGGCTGAAATCTAAAGCATTATTGAATCTTTTAATAAGAAAAGTGCTGAATGCCCCTCCAAATGCACATTTTTTTGGAAATCAAAGTGAAGAAAGGAGTGGATATTTTTTTATATATAGTGGATATACACGAATAGTGGATATTCAAAAACATGGAAGAATGTATTGAACTGGAAAATTCAATGTATCCTTAAATAATCAGGGCAAATGTGAGATTATTAAACCCCTGAAAGTCATTCACCATTCAGTACATGATTTGTAATCTTCAAAACAATAGTACACTACAAAGCACCAATGGGATTCGGTGCCAATTTTCCATATCTGAAATTAGAAGATCAAGCTATCCAATAGCGCCCGGGCCAGTAACTTGAGCCGGACATCAGATCGGTGCTCGAGCTGAATTATACATGGAAATTCCATTACCTGCCCCATTAGCCCACAGCAAAGGGGTTTTGGGTCATACTGTACCTGTCAACAGAACCAGCGTCCTAGCCACCTAAATTAATGTGTTTATCACTTGCTAGGATAAAATGCAAAGAGGTTGGTTTCAAACACGTGTCTGAGTTAAACGCTCAACGCTCGATTGGCTCAGATCGTATGTCCAACTTATTGCTTATGCTCACATGGAGACATTTACTGTACACTCTAAAAAATGCTGGGTTGTTTCAACCCAATTTTGGGTAAAATATGGACAAACCCAAACGTTGGGTTAAAAATGTAATTAAAAAAATTAACCCAAAGACTGGGTATGTCCATATTTTACCCAAAATTGGGTTGAAACAACCCAGCATTTTTTATGTGACTGCAAAGTTTTTTTTTAATCTGACATTACTCAATCCACCCAACTTTTTACCTTCATGGGATAAAAGATCTTCAGAGCAAGGACTAAATATAATATTAATATTAAAAAAGCTATTTTTTATATGGATTTCTAAGTGGCCCTTGTCTTAAAAATTAAGATTCTGTATTGGCATTTTAGTGACATCCATTGAACATTTCCAGGTTATTTATAGTGAAATAGCCTACAGGTTCTATTAAAATGTTCTCTACACTTAAAAAGGGGTTCTTTTAAGAACTTTTCACTAAAAGTTCTTTGAATGACCCAAAACGGCTTTGTGTTTCAAAGTGTCAGTAGTTAAAGCTGGTTACCAGGGCATGTCTATGCTGTTGCTATGGTGTTTAGAGTGCTTTTTTGCATGTTGCTATATGTGGTAAAAAGAATGTTCTAGACCGTCTGGCTCAGTTTAAAAGAGCACTTCTAAATCTCTGTGATCAGTAACGTTTTGTGCTTGATTTATAGTCTAGATCACATAGTAAAGTAACAGGACACATCTCTACAAGAAGACACATGATTTAAGGAATCATTAATGTCTGTAACACAGTAAGTTTAGTCAATCCACTAAGCAAATAACCAACTTGGCAAACACTACAAATAAGGACAATATTCAGCAACTCAATCAAGCAGTAAACACATACTGTACCAGTCAAAGTTTTTCTGTCACCTTTAGCTCTATTTATAACTTTGACTCATGCAAGAAGACGCCACATGGAATAAATACAGTATCTGACCTTATGTGATTATGATGGTTCTTTGATTAATAAATGCTTTTAATAATGTCTTTTGTATTCTTTCAGCAATTTCATCCAAAACAAACCACAGTAAGCAGCAGAAGTTCCCTTCAGCTCTACAGAGGAATTAGAGCATGCAGAGGTGTTGATAGCAAGAAAGAAATAATTCAAGAAGAGCCCAGAGTTTCTGCTTTGAAATGTTACCTGCCCCCTTTTGAGTCCTATCCTGGGCCAAACGCCCATCTTAACCTCAACCGTTGCCAAGAAACTTGTCAGATTGCTTTTCAAAGGTAATGCCGCCATTGATTCCTGACATCTGACTATTGATTAAGTGCACAAAACACAGTAAAAGAGCTCTTTAAAGGTGACCTTCATGCTTACCTTCACAAAAAGCTCAATATCAGGATCTTTGTCCTCCTCATTTGAGGTCATATCGCTTAAGCTCACTCAGATTCAGAGGCTGACAGAGAATTGTGAATATGAAACCTCCTTTTCCTTGGATGCGAGTCGTGTGTGTGTCCAGCAGGGTGTTGTGATGGTCTCGGAGCTGTAACAGGTTGGTGGCTGTGCTGTCGTTGTTTTGATTTGGCCCCCGTGGTCAGCTGTCAGTGAGAGACGCTCCAACGGTCACAGGAGGGACCAAAATAGCCTCCACGCAGCAAATGGGCAAAAGGGAGGAGTTCGGTGTCACTGTCACCTACACCATCATCTGGTCTCCAACTCTCTGCAGCTCGGGTCCTTTATAGAATATGATGAATCATATGTCACACCTTCCTTTCTAAACCTGAGTCACGAAATACTGACCTCTCGCAGCGCTGGTGTGAAAATCCAAACGGCTTAGGAATGACTCAAGGGTCATTCTGTCAAATCAACCACATTTCAGAAACTTTGAAATGTTTGAAACAATGTTTGATTTTGTAGTGGGGTTTTTTCTGATGAATGACAAATATAAATAGCGATGACAGACAATATATTAGAATATTTACTTGGTAATAAACTATTGTGTAGAGGGGTCAAAATGATTAGGCCTGTTTTCATATGTGATTTGGAACCAAATTAAAGGTGGAAGAAAATGACTTTAGAAAGATGGCAGCATCACTACTTTATATTTACAAAGAGATTGGTAGGTCTGTTGGTAAAATCTGTTGACATTAACAGTCCTTGTTGCATTGTATATGCATGGAGACAGTTAAAAAATGGGAAAAAGATGGCAGAAAAAGATGGGAAAGTGGGAAAAAGATGGGAAAATGGGAAAAAGATGACTTTAGAAAGATGGCAGCATCACTACTTTATATTTACAAAGAGATTGGTAGGTCTGTTGGTAAAATCTGTTGACTTTAACAGTCCTTGTTGCATTGTATATGCATGGAGACAGTTAAAAAATGGGAAAAAGCACTTTCCCCCCTACAGTTTGTATGCCTGTAACTCAAGAAGTACCTTTTTACATTTTTATGACCCTGTTCAATTCCAGAGAAATGGGGATCTCAATGTGGCTCCATGAAAATAATGTTCAATTCGAATGTTAATATTAGGGACCCCCAACACTATCTCACGACCAATTCGTACGAATTCGACGCATGATTAAAAAGTGGCTAATTCGTACTAATTCGTACGACCTCACTCGTACTAATTCGTACGATTTGTCTAAACCCACGTGATGGTTAGGTTTAGGGGCGGGGTAAGGGGTAGGTCATTCGTACGAATTCATACGAATTGGCCAATTCGTAAAATATGTACGATTTAGCAAAATCGTATTAATTCGTACGAGTGAGGTCGTATGAATTGTTACGAATTAGCCACTTTTTAATCATTCGTTGAATTCGTACGACTTGGTCGTGAGATCGGTTTGGGACGCCTGGTTAGGGTTGCCAGGTCTGTGTAACAAAACTAGCCCAAAAGTAGACTAATCTCCATATCGCAAATATCAAAACCACTCATCCGATATGCCACTCATCCTAAAATACATATTTTATAGTGACTGTTATGCACATTGAAAACCACTAAATAGCCGAATAATGATCATAAACAGAGCGCCCTCCTTTAAAGGAGAACTCCGGCGAACAATGAACCTTTGGTCTAATAAAACATCGGTACACAGTCAACCGTTCTCTGAGATTTGTTTTCATGATAATCGAATGTAAAGAGTTTTATCTCTAAAAACTGTTAAGCGTATAATGCCAGTAATGGGGGCATTGACTAAGTAAAAAGAAACCGCTAGTTTATACCACTAACCAGTCCCTCCAGGATTTCACGATTTTTTTTTGTGATTTTTGCGATCAAAATGACTGATTTTGTGGTGGTAATTTCCAAAAATTTGTGAAAAAATTTGCGATTTATATATAACATTTACCATAATAGTATTCAGTCCTTCCAGAAAAACGCAGTTTTTTTGTGATTGTTGCGGGCAAAAATTGATTGATTACGCGGCCCGTTTTCTTTAAAAATGCGATGGAATATGCTGGATATTTATGCAATTTTATGCAATGAAATTGCAGGAATTTGCAAAAATTGAGGGAACTTGCAAAAATTGCGGTTTGATGAAAAAGAGAGAAAAAAGTGATTCCTCCAACATCCTGTTCTCACTAGGCTAATGTAAGAGTAATTTCTTATTACTTCCTTTGATAAACAAGCATACTACATCATAGAAAGTGCTGGGAATATTTAATTTCTCATCTTGTTTTATTTCAGACTGTAACCAGTGTAAATAAGGTGTGGCCCCTTTAAGAGCTGCGCGCTCCCTGTTGAACTCTCTGCAGTGTTATATGTGCGCCTCGAACACCCCATGTGTGCGGGTAATTTCTGTTTGATGCTACTTCTTTTATCTTATGTTGTTTATTAAGTAACAATGTGACGGTAGAACGTGTGACAGACAGTTATACGAGTTCGATTTGTGAGATGTCAATCGCCTCCGTGAGTCTGTCTGGCGTCGCGTAATTGCGTCACTTCATAACGTTCCCATGGAAACAGGGGGAAATGGCTGCTCTTGTGTGAAGCAAACGCAACATTTTTCAACTTTCTGGTAAGATACATGTGACTTTTTTTTTGCAACGAAAATGCGAGGATTATGAAATTATGCAAACCCCGCATATTTTGCACGGAAATCGGAAATTTATGTGACGAAAGTGCGACGTATTTGAAAAAATGCGGCCCCCGCATAAATATGCGGACTTTGGCTGATTTTGCATTGAATTCAGCGATCGCATAATCGCGTTTCCCTTTCGTAGTCACTTCGAGTTACGTCAGAAGTGACGGAGATTGGGGGATTTCGCATAGAAAGCCAATCCTCTTCGAGTATTAAAACACGAGCCAATGGCATGCAATGCCTTGGGGCTGCGGAAATTTGCATAGCGTACTCCGCCCTACTCCGTGAGTATAAAAGGAGGAAGTGAACGCAACCGCAGTATGTTTTCGCTTCGGAGCCAAGAGAACCTCTTCACTCCTAAAAGCTGATTCAAGACTCTTCGAGAACGAGCGTCCTCTTCAGTGTTGGTGTGACGGCGGTACCCAGCGAGATTTTGCATTGCCTGCGATCTGAGCAGTGGTCTGCCAGACTTTGCACTTCTCCCTGGTAGCTTCAGCGCTGAAAGAGTGAATTTCTCCTTTCTCTAAAAGTGAAAGTGAAAGAGCTGCACGCGGCACGTCTTTTTAAAGATGGTTCGCCCGTGCCCTTCTGGATGTGGTAGATTTCTGTCATCATCTGATGGTCACGAACGCCGCTTTGTATGCCTGGGCATTCAGCATGCAGCAGCAGCGTTCGTGGATGACTCATGTTCCTTCTGTGGGAGCATGACCATCTCCACACTGAGGTCGAGGCTCAATGATCTCACTAGAGTGAGAGCCCGGTCCCCCCTACTCGATCGGCTTCCTTCACGAAAGGGGCCCGTCGACCCGGGGACCCGGCGATCTAACGGTGACGGTGTGGGATAGAGCCCCGACGATTCCTCGGGCCACACCTCCCGCCTCAGTGCGTGAGCCAGCGAGCGCCAGCTCGATTCAGTCGGCTGTCTCTTCGGCGGCGCCGGCTGCTTCTAGCAGCGCTCCAGATGATGATGTGATGTCTATCACTGCATCACTAGGCGGGCTTGAGTCCTCGGGAGAGGAAGATGCGGCTGCGTTGCCCCCTTCGGGAGTGCCAGCGTTGCCCGTGTCAGATCCCGAGCTGACGGCCATGCTGTCTCAAACCGCTGGGAGTATCGGGCTAGAATGGAAACCTCCATCCTGCCCCGATCTCTCGCGGATGGATAACTGGTATCTGGACAAAGCTGCCGCCGCAAGGCCACGGCCAACTCCGATACTTTTTTTCCCGAGCTGCATGCGGAGTTATCGCGCTCTTGGGGGCTCCTTTGTCCACTCGAGAGCGCGATCTCTCCCCCGCCTTTCCCCCCTCGACGGTGGGGCCGCCCGTGGGTACACTGGGATGCCCCGGTGGAGCGCTCTGTTGCGATGCAGCTGTGTCCACAGAGCGCCTCCACCCGTGGTCCTCCTAAGCACCCATCCAAAGCCTGTGGGTTCCTCGTCTGCTATGGCGGCGCGAGCCTATAGAGCGGCGGGACAGGCGGCCTCCGCTTTGCATGCCATGAGCACTTTGCAGGTCTTCCAAGCGAAGGTGCTCAGAGACATGCACGAGGGCGGGACTGACTCGACGGCATTTAAAGAATTGCGGTCCGCCACTGACCTTGCTCTCCGGGCAACGAAAGTGGCCGCTCGCGCCGTCGGTCAGGTGATGGCCACTTCGGTGGTTCAGGAGCGCCATCTCTGGCTCAACCTGGCAGATACGCGGAGCGCTGAGCGGACTCGTCTGCTCGACGCTCCGCTCTCCCAGGTTGGCCTTTTCGGCGGTGCGGTCGAGGACTTCGCCAGCAGTTCTCCACCGCTCAGAAGCAGACGGAGGCCATCAAACACATCCTGCCCCGGCGACCAGCTGCTGCCTCCACCCAGTCATCGGCGCAGGTGCCTCCCTCTGCTCGCCGCCGAGGACGCCCCCCTGCGGCTCCCCTCCCTCCCGCCCGGCCCAGCAGCAGCCTTCACCCGGGCCCCCGGCGTCGAGGAGGCCGCAGGCCGGCGTCACAGCCCCCTCAGGCCGCTCGCCCCGCTAAACGCCAGGCTAAGCGAAGATCCTGACACGGGCCGCTCAGTGATGATCTCGAGTCTTTCCCAGGAGGCGGTAGCAGGCCCCCTCCTTCCCCCGGTGGAGGGCCGGGGGAGAATCTTTTGTTCTCAGCTCCCCGCTGCTCACCCACGGGTGGGCAGCACCCTGAACTGGTTAAAGAAGACTTGACATCCTCACTGAGCTCACAGACTGGAGTGGGTGCGCTCGATGCCCCCGTGCGTCAGCCCACACACTCCTCTCTGTCTCTGAGGGCGCGGAAGGGGCGTGTGTCGTCCCAGGGCTACACCAATCCCTTCCCCCTCTGTCGCCAGACCCCCGGCAGAACAGACCCCCGTGGAACGCTCCGCTTTCCCTGGTCCCTTCTGTCGGGGAGCGGGCTTCGACGCATCCGAGCGGGGTAACTCCTGCACGCGTGCCAGTCGACCCGCACCGCTGCCCCTCCGGGGGGACGTCTGTGGTTCGCATGACCCCGTTGGCTCATTTTCCTGGAAGCCTGGCTAGCGCTTCCTGGGATATCCCGCTGGGTCATCAGAACGATCAGACTTCGGCTACGCGATTCAGTTCGCACGGTCTCCTCCCCGCTTCACGGGAGTTCGCTCCACGATGGTCGGTGGCAATGCCCCAGTCTTGAGAGCGGAGATTGCGACCCTGCTGGCGAAGGGTGCAATCGAGACGGTCCCTCCAGCCGAGGTGAGGTCCGGGTTTTACAGCCCCTACTTCATTGTCCCCAAAAAGACCGGTGGGTTACGACCGATCCTGGACCTGCGCATTTTGAACCGTTCTCTCCATCGACTACCGTTCAAAATGCTCACGGCCAAACGCATTTTTCGAATGTGTTCGGTATCAGGATTTGGTTTGCAGCGATTCGACCTGAAGGACGCGTACTTCCATGTGTCCATTTTACCTCGACACAGACCGTTTCTTCGGTTTGCCTTCGAGGGCCAGGCATATCAGTACGCCGTTCTCCCATTTCGGGTTAGCTCTGTCCCCTCGCGTCTTCACGAAGATCGTCGAGGCAGCCCTTGTTCCCTTTCGCGAACACGGGGTTCGCATCCTGAATTATCTCGACGATGGCTGATACTAGCACACTCTCG